CTGGGGTCCCCTGTTGGCACTCTTGACTCCTGTGTCCTACCGTAGACACTATGTAAGCTCTCTTCTGATCCAGACTGTGTATATCTATTGACACACAGTGCTCTTTGCTCACAGGATTTGATTGACACCAGCAGGAGTCAAGGGATCCCATTACTGTCTCTCTGTCCTGCTAATGCAGGGAGAAGATAAAGTGGCTACAGACAGGCACAGTCCTGGATCATCAAGTGAGGACCCAGGTAAGTATTTGTGGAGGGGATGGGGGGGGGAATACAAACACTGGGACTTTTTTCCCTTAATGCATTCATTAAGGTGAATAAGGTTTAGCCTTTACAACCACTTTAAATTAAAAATAATTGCGCAAAAAGATTTGTTGGTTATATGTGTATGTTTAGTATACACACAGGCATTACTTCCCATGGTTAAAGATACTACAGACTCAGAAATCAAAAATTTGTATTCATAGCAACAATTGTGTGATTTGCAATTGTTAAAAAAAAGACAAATATTCTCTTTTTTTTTAAAACTGGTCCAACAGTTTTAATTGTAGTTGTAGTGCGCTCTGCTCTGTCTTTCAAAGTAGGTTTTGTGCTTAAAGTGGTTGTAAACCCCAGACATAAAATAAGATCAAAAGCATATTCCTCTATAGTGTGTACTTTCCAGAGCACTAAGTGACATTTATGTATGTTGCCTTCTTCCTCTGCTATTAGAACAAATCACTTCTGATGAGTTTCCTGACACCAAGAAAAAAAGGGTGACAGGGAGGGACCTCCAGCAGTGTGACAGCCTTATATCTGTTCATGTGAGCTGTGTGGAAGGGGGTATGACTCTTCCCTTCAATCAGCTCTCAGAGCTCTCCGCCCCCTTTTTATGAACGCTCAGAAAAGCTTTATAAATTAATTACTTTGAACAGATTTAGAAATAAGAAGACTGCAGATAGACCGTTACAATGTATGTAGGGGGATTTGTTTCATCTCTGTGTATCACTGTGTAAGGGTTTACAACCACTTTAAAGTACCGTATTTGCCGGCGTATAAGACGACTGGGCGTATAAGACGACCCCCTACTTTTCCTGTTAAAATATAGGGTTTGAGCTATACTCGCCGTATAAGACTACCCCTCTTCCAACACACACCAAATAAAAAAACATCAGATTTGATTTCAATATGGTATGGTATTTCAGTATGGTATTCCAATGATGGGGTGCTATTCCTCCCACTGACACCAATGATGGGGCACTATTCCTCCCACTGATACCAATGATGGGGTGCTATTCCTCCCACTGACACCAATGATGGGGCATGATTCCTCCCACTGATACCAATGATGAGGCACTGCTCCTTCCACTGACACTAATGGTGCCCCATCAGTAGTGTCAGTGTGTGAGGAATAGTGTCCCATCATTCGTGTCAGTGGGAGGAATAGTGCCCCATCATTGGTGTCAGTGGATGAAATAGTGCCCAATCATTAGTGTCAGTGGGAGAAATAGTGTCCCATCATTGGTGTCAGTGGGAGGAATAGTGCCTCATCATTTGTATCAGTGGGAGGAATCATGCCCCATCATTGGTGTCAGTGGGAGGAATAGCACCCCATCATTGGTATCAGTGGGAGGAATAGTGCCCCATCATTAGTCAGTGGAAGGAATAGTGCCCCATCGTTGGGTGTCAGTGGGGAGGAGGAATAGTGCCCCATCGTTGGTGTCAGTGGGGAGGAGGAATAGTGCCCCATGGTTGGTGTCAGTGGGGGGAGGAATAGTGCCCCATCATTGGTGTCAGTGGGGAGAATAGTGCCCCATCATTGGTATCAGTGGGGAGAAAAGTGCCCCATCGTTGGTGTCAGTGGGGGAGGAATAGTGCCCCATCGTTGGTGTCAGTGGGGGAGGAATAGTGCCCCATCATTGGTGTCAGTGGGGGGGAGGAATAGTGCCCCATCATTGGTGTCAGTGGGGGAGGAATAGTGCCCCATCATTGGTGTCAGTGGGGGAGGAATAGTGCCCCATCATTGGTGTCAGTGGGGGAGGAATAGTGCCCCATCATTGGTGTCAGTGGGGGAGAATAGTGCCCCATCATTGGTGTCAGTGGGGAGAATAGTGCCCCATCATTGGTGTCAGTGTGGAGGAGGAATAGTGCCTCATCGTTAGTGTCAGTGGGGGAGAGGAGCGGCTGCTCCTTCTTTCAGTTTGGCAGCTTGATTTTCGCGGGGCCGTTCGGCTCCGCCTCTTCGCCAGTGATTGGTCGCCTATATGCGCTGGCTCCCAATCACCGGTGAGGAGGCGGAGCCGAGAGGCCGCGCGACCATCGAGAGGCCGAACTGAAAGAAGGAGCAGCCGCGCTTCCTGGACCGGATCATCGTGGGACCGGGACCGGAGCCAGGTAAGGTACAGCAGCCCCTCTGCCCACCCCTGTACTTAGTGTCCGTTGGAGGACATCGCCCCTGGAAAAAGTGCCGCCCTGACACACCGGCTCGCCGTATACTGGCGTATAAGACGACCCCCGACTTTTCAGAAGATTTTCAGGGGTTGAAAAGTCGTCTTATACGCCGGCAAATACGGTATATCTAAACCCAAGACCAAAAATGCAATGTATTGCTGCTTACCAATCCTTTACCCTTTGTTTCCGCCTCCCACTTCCCCTTTATGTGGATCTTAAAGTAGTTATAAAATCTAAAAGTTTTTTTTTTTTACTTTAATGCAATCTCTGCATTAAGGGAAACAAAACGCTCCTCTACCTGTCTTACAACCCCCCAGTCTCTAAACACTAACCTGGCTTCTATCACTGCTCCAGAGCTATAGCACCAATCCTCTCACTTTCTGGTCTCACAGAAGACACTGAGGGAACTACTGTGCGGGAACAGGGTCATGGCTTACCCAGCACTGTGTGTATCTGTGGACGCACACAGCCTGGCTCTAGAGAACACAAGCCTGGATGCCTCCTTAGCACCCAGCTTGCTTAGGAGGCACCCGGAGGAAGGAGATACTGACAGTTCCCGTAGGGATTACTAGAAAAAGAGGTAAGGGACCTGAAAGGATCAATTCCTGTCTGTAGCCCAACTGTATTTTTAAACCTGGATCCAGGAGAAATAAAGCTCCAGACACCGAACTGTGCAAGCTAAATCTCTGAAAGTTTAATGCACACAAGCAGTATTATACAAAACCAGAATGACCAATGAAATATTATACTCTTATCAAAGAAGATAGAAACTACAAATGGCTGCTGACCACCATGGAAGGTAGTTCCGTTTACTGACAATAGAAACTAGACTCAGGAAACGAGAGAGAAAATACAAGAGAAACTCAAAATCAAAACTAACTGTTCACACATCTAAAATGGAGGCATTATACAAAATGGATGCCAGTTAAGACATATTTCTTCACAGGACCTCTCTGTGTAATATTGTTGGAAAGAGTAGGCAAGTATTACCTCTTTGTTATTTTAAACAAAATAACACTTTAATGCTGGGAAGCAGAGTTTCTGATTATTTGATCACTGTCGCAGTAATCGAATAAAAGATTTATTTTCAGCACATAGTTATCTTCTGTGAAAAGAGCTTTATTGCAGTTTGTTCAGCATGTCATAGGTGTGGTATGGAGCTATGCTGTATGACATGATGATCAGACGTCAATAAAGACAGTCCTTTTCACAGAAGGTTAGGGTGTGCTGGAAACATATCTTTTATTTGACTGATGTGGGGCCGTGCACCAATTGCTCAAGCACCCTGCAACTGGATGTATATTGGTCTGGTGTACAATGGAGATATCTTTATGATGGCTGTCCCATGATTGCGAGTCCATAACAGGGACCAAGAGCTCAATGTGCTGTGATCACTCTCAGTACTGAACAGCCGAGCCCCATGGGCACATATATGTGGCAGCGTGCGCTGCCACATATATGCATTATGTCAGCGGGAACAGGTTAGATGTGGTAGCTGCATTCGTTTTTTTTTTTCAGGCTTATTTCCCTTTATTTTCACTTGTTTAAGCCCGTAACATACTTTTGTAGTTATAAAGACTTTATATTTATAATTTAAATTTATGATTTAAATTAAATTATAAAGAATGTAAAGACTTTAATGGCAAGAGCCTATCAAAACTGAAGGTAGATAAGGTTACCAGGCCTTGTTAAGGCCTAGGGGTATTGTGAGAGCACAGGGCAGCAAAGGAAGGGGTTGGGTAACCCTGCTGTAGGTACTGGCCTTGAAGGAGTGTAGGGTGGTTTGTGAATTCAGCTCAAAGCACACATCAGGGTTTGGGGAAATATTTGTATTACATTAAACTGGACAAGAAAAAAATGGAATTTCAGAAATGTGTTAACTTTCTTCATTCTACGCATTTGCAAGTCAGATTCAGACTTTCAAATGACAACTAGGAACTGAAAATAGAAATGCTATTGGAGACATTTGCGTTTCTTAGGTAAAGTGAACCGGTCTTAAAAAAAAAAAAAAAAAAAACATAGGGCTACTATGTATAGCATCTTTAGGTGGCTTAAACACTTTTTGAGATGTTGATCTGAAAGATAAATTCAGTTCAGGTCAGAGGTTCCTATATGCAGACTTTGCCTGGGTCAGTGGCTCAACTGAGTGATGCAAGAGGGTGACCATGACAGCCAGACAAGAATTTTCAAAAAGAAAAAGACAATAGTGGTAGCCATTGTGTTTCATACATGTCAGGTTCATTTATGACAGGCTTTAGGACCTGTTTCAGAATAGGCCCAGTATCTGTCATCTAACTTGGCTACCCAGTCATAATCTAATATGTTTGAACTCTGTAAAGATGTCAGGCGGCTGATCTGATCATAAACAGACGTAAGATCTCACAGTAGAGATAATCATGAAATCCCTAATCCTAATGCTGCCAAACTGCTTCCAGCACCATGCTACCCATTTTCCTGCATCAGCTGGCAGTGTGTGTGCGCTCATTCTGTGAATTTATTGCAGGACTTATTGACTTCAGATGAAGTACAGTTACATAACTTGTTATTTTTATCATTTCTTTCAGGGAATTGCAGATGATTTCATATCAAAATAGGATTGAACAGCTCCAGGAAACCCTGAAACAGAGAATGCAGTCTGATGACAGCTGGGAGACAAAGGTACAGGCAGAGCACCTATGGGTGTGTTCGTATTGATGGATGGTATCTTTTCAGTAGCTCTTTCATAGGTCACATGTTCCAGCATGCTTTCCTTATCTGATGACATAATGTGTAAGTACTTCTTTTATATCCATGCAGTATCCTTTCTGATAAACAAATACACACACATTGCTGTTAGCATGGTGAGAGAATGGAAAGTAAAAATCAAAAGCTGTTCCAGATCAAGAGCCATTTCAGACCTACCACCATTATACAGTAGTGTTGCAACAGAGCTAAAGATGAGTGTTCTTCTCTGAACTTTATTGGTGTGTGTATATATATATATGTGTATATATATATATATATATATATATATATATATATATATATATAAAATGTTTGTCTTGTTAAAGCGCAATGACAGGCTGCATATACAGAAATAAACATTTGTCTTTTTTTTCTTTTACTTTATGGTGCAGCATGGGCTAAAGTACCCTGGGTAAGTGGCATGCTAGAGTCAGACCACTATTCATCACAATGTACAGCATTCTGACATGCCTCCTGCACAGTGCTCCAATCAACATTACTGCTCGGATAATATGAGCACTGCTATTGGAGCATGGGGCAGAGAGTGTGTCAAAAGGCATTGGTGTCTCTTCTGCAATAAAAGCTGCTCTTCTGCCATCCAGCAATGATTCTAATGAATGCACACGGAGCCACACATGTGCAGCTCAGCGTACATTCTTGACATGCCTTTGGTGCTGGGATGAATTATCTACTGCATGCACATGCAGTCGTTATGTCATGCTAGTATGACTAATTAAGATGACCAAGAATACGAATCTGGCAGAAGATCAGGCGAAGAAAGTCAGCAATAGTGATAAGGGAACAAGGAAGTTTGCGCCTTTTGTCCTTTTTGCAGGAAAGTCTCTACCATCATATGTAAATATGCTGTGTATACTTGCATATTATGGCAAAAGCTCTGAGCAGCAGCAGAGTTTAGTTTTACTTAAGGAGAAATGTCAGTATAATGTCTGATGATTTTTTTTAACGATCTTTACTTTTCAGTACTGGTTTATGAGCATGATCTCCATGGCTGTCACATGGAAACTTCCCTACTTATATGTTCACACCACTGAGGTTACATAGAGATACAGCCACATGTAGTACAATGGCTAAGTGTTTGCCTTTCAACTTAAGGCCCTGTGATTGTATCCTGCTAGGATCACTGTCTGTAAAGAGTTTGTACTGTATGTTCTCCCCTTGTGTGTAGAAGGTACCTGTAAAGGTTTATTCCAGAGTGAAGCTTCGGCTGGGGGTTGAGGCTTTAGGGTACTCAGGCAGGCCAGGTCAGCAACAAATATTGAAAGCAAGGTACAAAGTCAGAATCCCAAAGTGGAGGCAGGCAGGTCTTACACAGACTGGCAGAGTAATGTAGAATCATCAGGCAAAGAGAGTAATCCGGGAATCAGGCAGAGGTCAAAGTCTAGAAGTTCAGTAGCTCAGCAGTAGTTTAGAATCATCAGGCAAAGAGCATAATCCAGGAATCAGACAGAGGTCAAAGTCCAGAAGTTCAGTAGCTCAGCAGTATAGCGCACACACAGGGAAACAGATCCAACAAATGGGAACAGTCTAAATGAAGTCCTGCAATTTAAGGTGATCTGATTGTGGATTCATTGCAGCTGGAAGACATGGGGGCTAGAGAGCACTCTGCAAGGTGTATACTGCAAGAGTCAGGTTCCCCAGTGGTAATGCGAACAGAGCCGCAGCACAAAGACAGAAGGACCCAAGTTCAATCTCAGGCTCATGACAGTGTGCATGGGCTTGTTTCGGGTGTTCCAGAGTCCTCCAACAATCCAGTGCTATACTGGCAGTTTAAAAGGACTATGGAGTGGTTTTGTATATATTTTCTTTAGTATGGTCTGGACTAAAAAAAAACAAGAAAAAAAAAAAGTTTATGTGAGTAGTGTTCCAATACCAATAAATAAACATTGAACAAGGAAAAAACCAAAAGAATTTTGTTGTGTAAATTTGATACATTCTTCATGAATATTATATGCTGTTTCATACACTTAGGGTATTGAAGGGAAGTTCTGTTTGCTGTACCATCTCTTTAGCTATATATAACAACAGTTTAAAAACGTAAAGAAAAATATTTAAAAATTTGACTCCAAACATAATTCTCCTTGGCAATGGATGCACTGGGAAAAGAGTTTGGCTTGCAAAAGGTGCTGTGCGTACGTGAAAAGATTGGGTTGATCATAGGCAAATAAGCCACTGTTCTGACCATTCTTTATAGGAGAGGCAGATGCCTTCAAAGGTTTTTCTCAGAACTCCTAATGAAAGTAGAGCATGTTGCTCAAGGAGAGACATTGCTTTGCAGCAGCTTTGACAAATAACCACTGTAAGCTAAGCTTTATGCTGCAGTCTTCAGTCTCCTAAATTCCTCCATGAATGGTCTCAGCTCAGGAGAAACGTAAAGGGAGCGCTGGCAAGGAATGGCAAATATGAGCATTGTGTTTTTAGCATCAGAAGCTCACTGAACCTTTGGCCTTGTATTTCATTCTATTGCATGTGGGACAGGAATACACAAAATTGGAATAAGCACACAGAAACATTCACACTTAATTATAATTGGTTTGCTTATGGGAGTTGATGATGACATCATATCCTCCCTACCATTGTTGTCCAGTTTTTCTTTTTCCTCACCTGGCTCACCTGTTTGCATGCATGTGGAATATTTGATGCTTGAACACAAATCACACAAGACATGATTAGTCACTGTCAATCATTGCTCGCTGTATCTTCTCATTTCTGTCACAACTGTGATACCTACTCCAGAGGACAATGAAAGGATGTAGAAATGTATTTATGTTATTATGTTACTCACTGAGACTTTTGGGCAGCACAAAGAAGTAAAACAAATATTAAATGGTTAGCTCACACCTCTTCCAGAGATCCATTGGCTTTCCAATGGTGTGCACTATAAAAAAAACACAACCAGTCCACGTTGGAAAAGCGTTTTGTCCCAACAAGGTCTTGTTCACACCAGTTACTGTAGTGTGGGTAAACCTTCAATAGGAACTGCAGCACATCCATTAAGGCTTTACTGCCTGGAAAGTATAATGTGGAGTAACCCATTTGAACCAATAACCACTTTACTTATTATTTACCATCTGCATGCTAAATGAGTTCAAGACTATGATAAAGAATAATTATATTAATAAAGAATAATGGCTCCCCATCCCCCATGATAGCCTGCTGGGGTTCATCTCCCCCCCTGCAGCCACTCACACATGCACGTCATTCATTCACAGAGATCTGTGAAAGAACAAATTACAAGTGCGGTAATCACCACACTCGTAGTCCATTGACACTTCTTCCATCTCTAACTGAAAGCCTGTACCCTAGTATGGGTAGGAAGCTGGAGAAAGAGCCTGCAGGGACCTAGCATTGCATATACGATACACAATGCACAATGTGCATTAAATGGACATTTTGTTTCCTGCAAAAATATAGGTATTTATCATTTTTTAAAGATGAATTTATTCTTTAAACTCTTTATACTAGAATATGCACACAATAAAAAATATATATATACATGCAATAGTTTTCTTAAATATCCTGTAAATGAATCAATATCCTAGTGAAAATTGAGACTTTCCGGAATTCTAGCACCTAAATGGTAAATCCAAAAAGCTTTCCTAGACAAAAGGCTGACTCCTACATCAGCTCTTCTTAATCCAATAACCACCCTGTCAATAATCTGGAAATAGAACACTGCTAACTCTTTCCATGCTGGTTCAAAATATCTAGAGACATTAGAGGGACAAGTCACTTTGAGTTTGTGATATGCTCTCCCATTCTCTTTCAAAGGCCTCATATTGCATCCAACATATGGAGAGATTTAATAAAACTGGTTCACTCAGAATCTGATGCACCTGTGCATGGTAGCCAATCAGCTTCTAACCCCAGCTTGTACAATTAAGCTTTAGTAAATAACCCCTTCCCCCAGCCCCACACACACCACAACCAGAACATCAGAACATTCCCCACATACGACCAATTAAAGAAAATAAACCATTAGGCAGATCGTGGCGAGAGATGGCTGTGGCACTTTATTGGTGTTACACAAATAATCCATGTACATACTACAATAACCGTTGGTGAGATTCAACATGCAAAATATAATAAAACACCCTCTTCTGGCTCGGTTATTGGAACTCCAGCCATCACAACATCTAACACTGAAAACGTCCCCCCTGACTCCAGGGTGACAGCACCACACAAAGTGCGCGTGACAAAAGGGGGGGGGGGGCTCTTCTGCTTGCAGGCCGGCCACTGATCCCAAACGATCCAGATGCCCCTTATATCCTGTCTGCCAATGCTCCAGAAACTTCCGTGACTCCCAATTGGATCCCTGGAACTCTGCTTAACAAAATTTAAAGGGGCCAACACCAAATTTCCCCACATGTGACAAACCCACCCTTTAAACAACCCCATTTGAGAGAGGGGGGGCACAATCCCATGAAAGTGGTCCCAAAGGTTTGTGCCCAATTTTGGACATGGGATTGCAGACTGTACCCCGCCACAACCAGAACATTCCCCAAATATGACCAATTAAAGAAAAGAAGAGCAGGGAGCTCTTCTGCTTGCAGGCTGGCCACTAATCCAAACGATCCAGGTGCCCCTTATATACTGTCCGCCAATGCTCCAGAATCTTCTGTGACTTCCGATTGAATCCCTGGAATTATGCTTAACAAAATTTAAAGGGGCCAACACCAAATTTCCTCACGCATGACAAACCCACACTTTACAACTTTAAACAAATCCATTTGAGAGGGGGGGTGGGTGAGTGTACTCACTTTTGTTGCCAGCTGTTTAGACATTAATGGCTGTGTGTTGAGTTATTTTGAGGGGGACAGCAAATTGACACTGTTATACAAGCTGTACACTCATTACTTTACATTGTAGCAAAGTGTCATTTCTTCAGTGTTGTCACATGAAAAGATATAATAAAATATTTACAAAAATGTGAGGGGTGTACTCACTTCTGGGAGATACTGTGTGTGTGTATATATATATATATGTATATGTATATCAGAAATATCATATTTTCTGTCAGTTTCCAGCACACACATTTACGTTTAGGGGCTTTTGATAATTTATGTACTGTTAGTTTAGTACTTAGAAATTGAGTTTAATTTTAGATTTCCTGCATTATGTGTTCAAAGCCCACGTTTTTCTCACAGTATGACAAGCATATTCCTAGTGTGTTTAGTAATAATACAATCTACATTTTGTGTATTGTGAATGTCTGACCTGCATTAAGTCTACCTTGTCTTATCAATAGAAAATACAGTGTTTGATTCTCTAATCACAGTTCTGTATTTCCCTTATAGTCATACACTTGTTTTCTCTTGTATTAGCTAATGATCAAATTCACCCAAAAATATGATTCTGTTATGGGTGGGCACTGTTGTTTGCTGCTGCATAAATCTGAGAAACTCAAATAGTTTAGTTATTGGAATTCTCCAAAAGTAGGTGGTAGTGTGCGTTGGCAGCCCATCTGACAAGACAGATGTCACATAGTAGATTTCCTGGTTATTAGGTATTTAACATTATGAAGAATCTATGAAGGTAGCAAGACAATATCATTTGGCTTTCAATGAACTTAATCATTGGGAGCTACAGGGCATTCTGGTGGGAGAAGTTTGTCTCTAAGCTCATTAAGAAGTAGAACAAACTAGCAACTGAAATCCTAATTGTGGTCAGAGTTAACCTTAAAACTGCTATATTTCTACTCTATAAGTGGAGGAAAGAAGGCATTAATTATATCTAATGACAAATTGCTATTTATTTACAATTCTGCTTTAAAAGAAGGCATAGAGTGTAATTGGTTGCTGTGGGCACAATGTTGTTGATGATGTACCTTTTGTACTCATTGTCTCTTTTCTTTTTTAAGTAAGGAAACACACATACTGTATCTTGATGTTTTCATGGTGTTCATAGTACTGTACATTTCATTCTATAGATCCAGAATGAACTGGAGAATCAACGGCAGAGGTTCATACAGAAGCTTGAGGAAACGGAGCAGAGACTTCTGGAAGAAGCCAACATGGAAGTTGAAATCGAGAGACAAAGACATGGCGAAGTTATAAAGATGCTACAGAATAAGAATGAGGAACTTGAAGGAAAGGTTTGTATTCTTGTGTGTCAAAAACACACATACCTTGATCCCTTCCCTTTCTGGTTAAGCCACTTTTACCATTGTAGGTTTACATCTGGTTGCTGCCATGGTGACCCCTACAGTTACAGCTCTTACACTTAATATTTGTTACATTTTTGTAATGTAGGATAAAACTATGCTGTATGATTACCAACATGGTAGGCTACATAAAAGAAGCCAGCAGTGCATTTTTTATTGAAAGTTTTGCATTTTTAATTGTAACGACAATGAATCATGCCTTGGTGTGTTACTTGCACATTCTTCTGCACACACTGGGAGCACCAGTTATAAAACAATTTACAAAGACTGCTGTAGACCAGCAGACTTCAAATGTAGTTTTCTACAGTTAAATTGCAGTAGAGAACCATGGGAATTTCTTATTTCCAATACCAAAAGAGAATCACTATGGGGAAAGTAAAAACATAAATGGATAGTGCTAGATAAGTGGTAACTAAGGAATGGTTCCACGTGAATTCCTTGCATCGCATCTTGACATTGATGAAAAAGCTGCTACATTAGTTTAAGGCCCTTTGCACACAAGAAGACCATTTTTTCTTTCAGTTTTTCAGGCATACCCAATCATACCCTCCATTCTCCTCTATGGAGCGGCGGGTATAAAACTGCCATGTGTCTGTTTACACCTGCCTACATCCAATCCGCTAAAAACAGACGGATGGGGATTCGTCAATCAGATGGCAATTGGGTGTAAAAGAATGGACCATGGACAGACAGTCCATTTACATCCGACTGCCCATAGGGGAGAACAGGCTGTGTCTGCTCTGCATAAGTGGAGTGGGCACAGACCAGCCATCCGCTTGCTCAGCAGGGATTAGCAGACAGATATGTAAGGAGCCTAAGATAGGTGGGTTGAGAGTTAAAATCCTTTTGGACCATCAACTGCAGTAAGATTAATTCAATGGATCCATCAGGTACTGATGATGAATTTATCTAGTTATTATTATGTCTTTGGGGTGTGGGAGGAAACTGGAGGAACCCCACTCTGGCAACAGGAGAACATGCAAACTCCAGGCAGGTGGTGCTGTGGTTGGGATTCGAACCAATGACCCTAGTACTGCCAGGCGGAAGTGCTAACCATTTAGCCACTGTACTACCGACAGTTACAGTTGTAGAAGCAGTTTTTAATACGAAAGTTATCCAGGCCACATTTAAAAAGGTCCTGATCTGTGGAAGTTGTGTCTAAAAAAAAAGGCACACTGTGCCAAAGGCCTAGTCATCCATATTGCCTGTGGGCTTCCCAAAGCTGATCTTTCTTATGATAGAGGCAGGACTTTTTTATTTTCATGTCAGATTTGCCCCTTTGATGACTGGTGATCTAATGACTGCTGGAAAGCAGGAGAGGATCAGAAAGCACAGATCCACAGAATGGCTGAAGCAAGGAGATCTTTGTACTGCGGGTCCTCAGGCACAGGTTTCTCTCCAGTAAGGAGAAAAGTGAGCAGAACAGTAAAAACATTGCTAAATCTTACTCCAAATCTTGAGAGACTAGCAGTCACAGGCAGCCACGCCTCTCTTTCTATGCCAATTTATGCCTTTTACTTCACTGTTCTTTCATGGAAATATGCATTTTACAATTATATGTGAGAAAACAGTGGATGAAATTTAAAATTGGTATCTTTTTAAAAGTAATGCATATAGCACCTGCTTTAAATGAACTGATTTTGGTATTGCAAGAAAAACATATGTGTATAAAGAAAGCACACTAAATGTGTATTTAAATAAACTGTTGCAGGTTGTTATCACCATTTGCTATTTTGGGAAATATGTGGTTCAGTTATGAACTGTAGTTGCTTATAAATTGATTATTAAATTTGAAACTCTGCACCAATTATCTAAAGGAGAAGGTTGCATGGTTGCTAGATGCTAGTATACTAGCAATTGTTTGATTAATTGGGTACACACATCTGCTAATATTCATGCATTATGATACAGTATTTGCTAATTGCAGTAGGTTAATAGGACTTACTGGCGTTCCAAAAGTGTCTGTATGTAATTAGGAACACGTTTACACTTTGCACATTTTTATTGAATTGGGAGGCAAGTGGTTTGTTTTACAATGTGTGCTGCATCCAGTAAACATCAGTGAAGAGCCAGATCATAAAAGAACAAAAAGCACAAATAAAGATGAATATGTGCCAAGGGAAACAGGATGGCAAGATTCTAGTTATCCATTTGTCATTACCATCTGATGTAAACAGATTGTAAATCCCTGTCATCATGTGTCGAGTTCTGGACTCTGGATGAGCAATCGGAAATAAAATGATGGAAGGTCTGTTACATTTTCTTCCTGAATTCAGGGGCTGGGCTGTTGAAAGCCAGCAGAAATCATAATAAACTGAAAGAAATTGGGCTGTTGTTTTGTATTGTTATTTTACAGGTTGTTTATCATAAAATAATGATACTATGAGGGTCCTACAGATGGATGTTATGTTTGTATTTTATAATTCTGCATTTTGGACACGTGAAAAATGAAAAGTGTCCTTCAGGCTGGATTCACACCATTCTGTGGGTATTATGCATCTTTTAATGCATGCTTTTAATGTGCAGTTTCATGTTGTCTGTACAAATTTGTTGGTTTCTGTCAGCCAATTAAATATTGGGTAAAAATGTGCGAAAAACTTGTTGCCATGCTTTGGAAACATGTAAAAACACATGTTATGTGACTTTTTGCGTGTTGCCCTTGCCATTACTAGAGCCTACGTGCATCAGTATATTAAATAAACAGACATGGACTTTTTCAGCCAACACATGTCAACGCATCCCAGAGATGTAAACAGTAGGAAACCTATATACGTGCTTTGACATGCATTGCGTTGCTTTCAAATTGCATAGATGTGAATGGGGCCTTAACCACTTAAGCTCCAGAAGGTTTTACCCCTTTATGAGAAGGCCATTTTAGCACTGCACTACTTTAACTGGTAATTGTGCAGTCATGCAATGCTGTACCTTAACGAAATTGCTATCATTTTGTTCACACAAATAAATCTTTCTTTATTTTTGATTTGATCACCACTGGGTTTTTTTATTTTTTGAAATACAAACATAAAAACCTTTCTGCTATAAAACATATCCAAAAAAAAAAAAAAAAATACAATTTCTTCATAAATGTTCATAAATAGCATCTACAGACTATGGGATATACAGCATATTGTAATTTTTATTAATTTATTTTATACTGCTAACGACGGTGATCAGCAATTTTTAATGAGACTACGATAGTCTGGCGGACAAATCTGACACTAACTGATACTGAGGGAAACTGACGAACTGCCACTGACATCTCCAGTGACACTGATACAGTTATCAATGATACTATACATGGTCACTGTGCTAATGATATTGGCTGGGAATGAGTTAACATCTAGGGTGATCAAGGGGTTAAATGTGTGTCTATCAATATGTAATGTGTATATTATGTGCCGCTTTTACTAAAAGATCTCTTTGTTTCTCACCCCTGCTTTGCTTTGCAAGGATGAGAAACAGAGGGATCATTCCCTTTGCACAGAGCCCTGTGTTGATTTTCAACACAGGGTTCTGGGGTGTGATTGCATATCACTGGCCTTGAATCATTGGCTGGGACCTGCTGACAGACTCCCACTGTGTACAATCCCAAGGGGTGGGGGGGACGCTCTAAACCAGAAAGCAGGCAGAGATGTATCAGTTCGTCACTATGTCTGCACGGGCTGCTCATCCACAGTACATTGCGGGCGGGTGGTCCGGAAGTAGCTAAAGCAGTATTATAAAACAATGTATTGTTTTTGAATAAAGCAGTGTTGAAAAATGTAAAATCCAATGGGGACACGTGTAACGATGACACCTGTCTAAGAGAACATTCACCTAAACTTGAAATTTCACCTCACTTCTTGTTGTGTTTACAAGAACATCCCTAAATGGGACACATGTGGCAAAGAATAAAAACTGCTAGAAGTTTAGCTTTTCATATACAGGTTCCTTCCCGTCAAGGTAGGTGTTGATTTGTGCAACACCCGGAAGAGTTAGCACTTCTGTGAGGTATTTATTATTATTGTATTATTATTTATTAATATTTGTTGATTGTGCCTTCCAGTCCTAAGAACCCTTTTATTTCCCTTGGTCCTGATATTAAAGTGATAAAAAGTAAGAGAAAGTCTCAACACTGGAGTTATAAACAGCAATAAAAAATGAACAGATGTTCTAACTTTCCACCCCTCCGGTATTCTGACCTGTGATCTAAATGCTTATATTTAACTTTCCCCAGTACAGCCAGTCCATCGTTAATTCTCATGTTTCTCTTCTTGAAACTTTCCCTTAATGGGGAATTTATTTTGAGGGGAAAATGTTGGGCTGCTAAAAATCCAGCTTAGTCCAGTCCCATTAGATTTCTTCTAGTATGATCTGCAAAACTGAACTACCATAACCAGTATAGTAAAGCCATATTGCTTGCCTTGTTACTAGGGATAGCCCTGAACTCAGTAACCCAATGAATTTCCAAGTAAATGGTTTTCCACAAGACATTCATTTCCTGCCAAACCTGTTAGCATAGCTATAAAGTCCTGAAGCCATAAACTGATAACTGTATTGCCAAACACATAAGTACTTTTTGTAAAGTTTCTGTATTTTTAACAAGTGATTTGAGATGGTTTAAATCTTACATCCAAACCATATCATATTTTATGTAACTATTATTTTAATGTAGTAAATAGGAGACAAGATAACACAACGTTCTTCAGGAAACTGCTGCCCTGTATGCATCACCCTAATTTTCTGTAGATATTAAAAGGATTAGTTACATTAGTCTTGGTGTGCGAGATTGCCAGCAGTATTAAGTGATCTGCACTGTATTCCCCATCAATAACTGTATAGTGTAGTGCAGCATTACATCACAGTATAGATTGTAACTGTGCATATCATCTAGTATCAGTGTTGGTCACATACTTTATTTTTTTAATCAAGGCATATTCACAATTACAAGG